TTTTTCACACAAACAAATACTAACGCTAGCTTTGGCCAGTGTTTGTGTCCAAATGGCTACTAAAAAAGATTGGACATACCCCATTTTCAATACATTGGGTTGTCTACTATTGCAAATGGTATGCCATTATGGGTGTAAATGTCATTCCTGGGCTACTATAAAGTCCCAAAGGCAACCTAACCAATCTGGCGAATTTCAATTTCAAATGTAACGTGCTATATTTGACCATGTAACTTCCCAAAACGCCATAAAACCTCTACATAGGGGGTACTGTTTTACACGTGAGACTTTGCTGAATACAAATATGTGTATTTTATTGCAGTAAAAGCAAACAGTATTATGACATTGACAGTTAAAATGTCATGTAGAACTAAAAAAATTTAAAAAAAATCTTATTTTCTCCAATTTTTTTCATATCAAATTATGTTTCACAGCTAAATATTTGATATTAAATGAAAGCCCTGTTTCCCCTGAATAAAATGATATATAATAAGGGTGGGTGCATTTAATATGAAAGAGGTGAATTACGGTTGGACAGACGTGTAGCGCAAATGCCAGGTTTTGTTTACATTTTGTTTCGTTCACAACGTGTACATTTGGCTCCGTCCTTAAGGGGTTAAAAGTGAGGCAGAACTGTTTTTAAGATGTGTTGATATGTTGTGTTGATGACTGTTGATGTCATGATACGTACTTTAAGCCAGTATATGTATGGTGATATGTCTTTAATAAGCTGCAGTACAAACTGCTTGTGCTGTTTTTTTGGGGCTTGATTATAATTTGGTAAATAACTTATTTTTCTGTAGCTTTGTCTTCCTAATGGCTAGACTAACATTCTCTTGTTTGAACATCTACCACCTTATCTTGCTACTGCCGTTTGCCGTTGTAGAATCCAACATTCTGCTTGGCCTTTTTCAGTCTGGATTCTGCGCTTGTCACTTTGTTGAAATGGCTCTGACCAAAGTATCCAAAGATTTAATCTCTGCAAAAACCTCATGGTCACTATTCTATCCTAATTCTCCTTGTCCTTTCTGCTGCTTTTGACACTGTTGATCATTAACAGCTTCTTTTCATCCTCTGTAATCTCAGTCTACAAGGTACTGCTCTCTACTGGTGCTCCTCCTACCTCTCCCTGCGCTCTTTTAGTGCTTCTTTCTATGGCTATGCCTCTTCACCTCAACCCCTCTCTGTTCGTGTTCCTCAAGGTACTGTCCTTGGTACTCTACTGTTCTCTGTCTTTTGTCTTCCAATATCACTTCTATGCAGATGACATGCAAATCTATCTGTCCTCTCCCGATCTCTTGCCGTCCCTCTTGATTTGTGTTGATCAACTTACGTGACCTCAATCCTCACATTGTGTACCGCCACTTCAAGATAGAAGGTATATATCTCTTGCAGGTATCTTCTTTTAGATGGTGACTGGTTCACGCGACTGGGCTTGAAGAACACATACCTCTTTGTTCCCTATTCATTCCTCCATTCATAAATTCCTGTGGTTTCTTTGGGAATGCCCTAGCAATTCACTTGCCTCCCTTTCGGCCTCAGATCAGCTCCATGTTGCTTTAACAAGCTTCTGAAGCTGATGGTCATCCATCTTCACTCTCAAGGGATTTGCTGTATTATCTATTTGGACAGTCTTCTGATCTGTTGTTTGGAGAATGCATGTTGAGGCTTCTCGAATCTCTCAGGTTCGTTGTGAATTGATTCAAGTCTGTGCTGTTCCCTTCCCAGTCTGTTCAGTTTTTGAGATTTAAGTTCGACTTAACATCCTGTGTACTAAAACTTCCTTCCTGCAAGTCTTTTCTATATGCAAGGAGATTCGCAGAATACTCTGATGCAATTCAGTCTCAACATGCACTATTGTCCTCCATAGAGGTGATATTCCCTGGCCAGGCTTTAATACCGGGGAATGCAACAGCTGAACCAACCTCATGGTGCATTGGAGGGACAGCAGCGATTGAATGTTGGACCATGTGGTGTTCGCCTCCCTTTTGTCACAGAGGGACCCTTCCTACTTGAACTGTTTGCCTCACGCAACAACCATCAGACACCACTGGACCCACACTGCAAGGCAGTGGATGACTTTCTCCAAACTCTGCCGATTCAAGTAGTCTATGCTTTCTCCCACTTTGTAATGATTGCGAGGGTCATTTAGCACATTCAGTCTTAGCGGTTGGCGATAAACGTAATTTCTCCATTCTGTCAGTGCCAACCATGGTTCCCGTATCTACTGGAGCTGTCTTGCTTCTCCTGCCTTCTTACCTGATGTTTATCACAGATCCACAAGGGAACCCTAACCCTTTGCTCCTAGAAGCCCAACTCCCTCTGGTGGCTTGGACTCTTTCAGGAGTTTCTGTCATGCTGATGAACTTTCGCAAGGACATTGTATTGGAGCCATGGGCTTTGGTGATGAGACGTTGTTACCTCTCTGCTTAGAATTCCTGGAATTGTTGGTGTGTGGAACAATTCTCGATACATTCATGTCTCCCCTCTCCCTTTTAAAATCCACAAGTTGTCCAATTAGTCCTTCGATTGGTTAAAAGCTGATTTCACTCCTACTGGTTTCCAGGCTATTCCTCCAAATTATGTCATCATTATTGCCGTCTGGAACACAGCTTGGAACGCATGACCCCGTCATGTGATTAGCACAATGACGTCATAAAGAAGGTGTAGTGCGACGATGAATCTGCAAAAGAAAATCAAAAAAAATCTGATAGACACCAGTAATGCTGCCATGCCCTGTACATGATGACATAATTTGGCGTAATAGCCTGGAAACCAGGAGGAGTAAAATCAGCTGGAAGATCTTTTAACCAATTGAAGGATTAATTGGACAATTTGGGGAGTTTAAAAGGAAGAGGGGAGGGAGGGTTTGTTTATATTTGTTTTCATTTTGTTGATGATTTGCAGTCAGTAACCCTGAGGAAGTCCCTGGAGGGAAGAAACACGTAGAACTATGGAACTGACAACAAATCCATGCTTTTGACTTCTACACCTGTTGTTTTAAAATTACATGTAAGTGAATGTAATGCCCCTGAGGAAGTGTTACTACTAAGACGAAATGCGTAGAGCCTGTCTAGTGCTTCACTTTTTATACTGTAATATTATAGTGTACTTTATTCCCAACATATCACACTTGGACAAATTTGTTCTTTGCTGCATGGTGCACCTTCTCCAAGATCTACAAGTGATGATGATAGGCTTTTTAAACACTTACTACTTGTAAATTTAACCTAATAAAGCTGTGAATTATTTTTAATTACAGTGTTGCACAATGGCTGTTTTTTCTTTTCTTTTTATACATGCATGAAGACACAGTCCAACAGCACAGACCGAAGGACAACACTGTTATTTGATGAGCCTTTTTCCATATTTGGATTTGTGAGTTTAAACTTGAGTTGATTTTAATTTAAGTGGTTTGAACATATTACACTATTTGGTCTCTTGTTTTATATCTATGTAGATCTACCTTTGTACAAGCTATTAACTGAGTAGGAGAGAAAAATCTAAATTAAACCGAATTTACAATAAAGGAAGTGTAAACATTAGGTTACTATTTACAGGTAGTGGTTAGGAAGGCTGTGCACATTACATGTGACTAGGGCTGCATAAACAAAGTGATTTAACTCCTAATTGGCAGAGAATTGAGCAGTGAGACTGCAGGGGCATGATCTATACTCCAAAACTGCTTCATTAAGCTAAAGTTGTTTTGATGAATATAGTGTCTCTTTAATTTTGGTAATGACATATTTTCTGCTTGTCTTCATGTTTAGGATATATTTTCTGTTTTCTGTTCTCTTATTCTACCTATGTTTGTCGCGTTAAAAAAGAGGAGGTACTTAGGTTTACAGTACCTCATATACACCCTACTTGTTTGATTGGTTCTTTGTTTCTATGTGTTTTTCTTTGTTGCTACGTGTAACGGATCACCTGGCACCCCGACTGGGTACCTCCGTTAAAGGATGCTCCTAGCGCTTCCTGAGGACTCCAAGCACTGCAGCAGACACCACAACCACCGAACCAGAGAAGCATATGAATCCTCTCAAGCATATGAATGCTGTAGACAGTTGAATAGGAACCATACGAATAGGTTTACTCTCCTAGCAGTCAAACTGGAACAGCATACAATAAATCCTTCCCCCAATAATGAGACGACACTTCACTTTGAGGGTTAAGCAGGAACTCCCTGTACTGTCACATACAGTCTCTTTTATTCCCAATCCACAAACATAGTACAGCCCACAGGGCGTTACAAAACAGCCAATCAATCCATACAATACACCCAGACACTCCCACACAAAATCCTCCCCTCTGATTACTGAACACAATGGGTAATCTAATTATCACAGCCAGAGAAATACAGTTTCATAAAACACATCACAGGGACCCCAAAACATGCAATAACCCCATCTAGCCCGCCTGAGAAGGCGGCCATTTTTGGTCCACTCGCGCCCTGCCTTCATAGTTCTCCAATATTCATCCCCAGGTGTGGTAAGTATATCCTTGGAACTGGGGGATCTGGGTGAACCACATATCCAAAATTCACCCAGATCCGTTCAGTACTTTGGAAAATACAGTTTAATGCAGATTCTGCAGAACATATACAGGCTAAATAAAAAACAATCACTGTATAATGTGTCCCCTGCTGTATAGTCCAAAACCACCGCACGATGTCTCTGTGCAACAAATACTGGCGAGATGGCACCGTGTTGAAAAGTCCACACAGTGTCTGTGAGTTAAAATGGCCGCCATCCATTGTTCTCACCATGTGCTTCTGATACAGGAAATGGTGGCCACCCAGTAACTCCACAGTATGTCCCCAGATGGTTCTTAAAAGGGCCAGCAGCGGGGGGGCGGCACCTGACTTCCGGCGCGAATGGCGGCATTTTGCTAGAGCTCCGCTCCTAGCAGGCCCTGCAGAAGCACACATTAGCTGCAATTCCCACCCTACTACCGCACAAACACCATCCACAGAACCACCTACCCTCAGTGCACCCGAGGACATGGGCGGCGGGCGCAAATCCTCAAAGGGGTCGGCGGTGGCCCCGATATTCAGATCCCGCGCACCAGAAGAGGGACGGCGGGCGGAGGAACAGAGGGAGTCTGACTCCGACTCCACAGCCAGCGACGTGAGCCACCGGAACACAACCCCCATCACGAGGGAGGACCTCCGTGGCTTACTGCAAGACATAAAGGAGAATATGGCGGCGGAATTTGCTAAGCACCTGGCACCTCTGCGGGCGGGCCTGACAGACCTCGTGCAACGCACCAGCTCCCTAGAGGACAAGATGGCTGCCACCTCCTCCAAAGCGAATACCCATGAGCAGGCACTACAAAACCTCACAGAGCAGGTGAAAAGGCTTGAAGAAGCCCAAGAAGACCTTAACAATCGCTCCAGGCGGAATAATATAAGAATCAGGGGCTTACCTGAGACCATAGATATGGAGTCCCTCTCCTCCACCATCAGGGAGACCTTCTGCAGCCTACTCCCAGAAACACCCCCAGCTGAACTATTGCTGGATCGCGCCCATAGAGCACTGCGGGCCCCCATCCCCGGAATGCCAACACTGCGGGATGTGATAGTACGGCTCCATTACTACCATATTAAGGAAGCCATCATGAGAGCGGCACGAAATACACCCCTACAAATTGAGGGACACCAGGTATTGTTTTTCCAGGACCTGGCCCCGAGCACTCTGCGAAAGCGACGAGAATTGAGACCGCTCACTCAGGCACTTACACGGAGACGGATCCGGTATACATGGGGGCACCCGTTTAAACTCACAGTGCGAAGAAACAATCACACGCATACTCTTCACGACATCGCTGAAGCACGCAGTTTTGCAGAGCAGCTGGGCATACCCCTTGAGGATACCAATAACGATGGGGGGCTCAACTTGGCCTCCGCTTCTCCGACCCGAAGAGCCGATTCGGACCACCAACGACGCCACCCACCCACGGGAGATCCGAGCCCAGACGCTCGGGAATAACCGACGCCAATCAACGAATCACCTGTGCATGGCCAGCTCCACCGGATTCCGGTGCACCGACAAGACCCTCAACACCTCAAGTACCCATGGACACTGAATCCCACACAACCAGGACTCTCAGGATCCCGACAGCCCGCTGACATGAGGCATCTTCCACCATCCGACGGACAAATAAGACTCTATTGGCCTCAATGTTTTCCTTCAAAATGCTTTGTTTGTTTTCTATTAAGCTTTTGCTGTAAAATTGCTAGCACACACCAGCACACACTGTAGGCCCTTGCGCATGCACGAAACACATTCCTAACAACAATACCTTCTACACAACGTACCTAAACTGGGGGGGGGGAAGGGCGGGAGGGGGGTACAGGGAGGTAGAGAAAGGGGAGATGACACAAAAAACAAAGAAAAAAGGAAAAAAGAAAAAAGAGGGAAAAAAAAACAAAAACAAAAAAAAAAAAAATAACGAAAAAAAAAGTGGGACGTAACCTATAAATGAAGGAAGGGAAAAAAAAAAGCAAAAAAAAAAAGCAACAAACTGTAGAGAAAAATGCACCACAAAACAAAAACGCAGGCAGACAGCCATCAACACGACATATTTGTCTTACGCAGCGTAATACAGGGAACTCACATGCCACCAAGGCCTGAGACCACCCACTCTGGCCAGCCACCGCCTTCAAAGACTAAGGCACTATATATCACAGCAAGAAAGTACAACTGAAGCGATAAGAATAGGCTAGGCAACAAATCATTAGAGGATACACCACTACCTACTGATACCCACATATAGCACGTACCTGAAGGGAATAATACTAGAGGTGGCAGGGCAAAACTAGCCCGCGGCATATGACACGGCAAAACACTTTTCTCTGAGATGTAAACATTATATTCTGTTATGTGCGACGGGGGCGCACTTGTTTTGAGAATTTTAATGCTTTTAAACGATCTTGCACTAGTCATTATTCTGCTTAATGTTATTCCAACTGTGATTCCAGTGTACTATATGTGGAGACAAGACTACCCCACAGGACGCCCCACCCCTTGGACACTAAGGGAAGACGAAGACTGACGCTAGAGAGGACGGCCTTACTATAAACCACAGCCTTCCAGAGCGACTGAGACTCCCGTAACACAGACCGACTAAGGGTACAGTACTCACACACACTTTACGCCTATTGGCGACATACACCTGGGGCCTTGCTCCTCCCCCTCCGGGCCTCCCTACCCCAGTGGGGGGTTGCGGGGGGGGGGGAGGAGTGACGCCGGGGATACTGAGAGCTGGCAAGTGACACGACCAACCCACACCCCTACAAGGAATTGCAACAACTCCAACAACGGGCCTGTAGGCACCTCTGGCTACCTGCCACTACCCACCAACTCATCACCACACATACCCCTCACGCATACGGAGCAGGCAGGCGGACCACTCCACCACCTACTGGCAACGAGTAAGACCAGTAGCCGGGCCTTCCAGGGCCCATACTACCAATACCTCACCCTTGCACATTACCCCCCCTCCTTTCCACCACCCCCCCCTCATCCTCCCTCCGACCCCATACCCCCCCCTGCCAATCCACAGTCGCGGCGCGGAGCCCCGGCTGGGCGCTCGGCCTCCAAATCATTGGACCCGCCAACGCACCACACAGACTGCGGTTGGACCTGAACCGGGGGGCACGACCGTTCTCATGCCACTATCCTTGAAATGCGTTTCCATTAACACCAAGGGCCTCAACACCCCCGCTAAGCGACATGGTCTACTACGCTGGGCACATAGGCAACATATAGACATACTGCTCCTGCAAGAAACACATTTCACACCCACGAGATCGTTCCCTCTCACCAACCGATACTATAAACAAAGCTACATGGCCAACTCCCCGGACACGAAAACGAAGGGGGTAGCAATTGTACTCAAAACCACATGCCCCTTAACAGATATCAGGAGCACAAGCGACCCCCAAGGACGTTATGTGACGATAGAAGGGAAAATTGGAGCAACACCATATGCTATAAGTTCGGTATACGCTCCCACTACCCCACACAATACGTTTTGGCTGCAATACGCTACACACTTACAAGCCTATGCGGGCAAACGCCTGATAGTAGGCGGCGACTGCAACGCTACACACATGCCAACCATCGATAGATCATCGCGGGGGACGGAGGCTCCGCAACCTTCCCGAAACGATACCCACTTTGCCCATTTCCTAGCCACGCAAACACTAGTAGACATTTGGAGAGCACAACATCCATCTACCCGAGATTACACCTTCTACTCGCACCCACACGCCTCATACTCACGCATCGACTACTTCTTACTCTCCCCAAATCTGATATCGCAGATAACTCACACCTCTATAGGATCCATATCGTGGTCAGACCACGCAGACATAACGATTATTATACGCCTACCAGACCTCAAAAGACCATGGACCTGGAAATTAAACCCACTGCTCCTTCATGACACACAAATCAGGCAATCAGTCGCTCAATCCATTGAGGACTACTTCGCCACAAACGCGGAATCAGCCAAGTCCCCAATCACGCTATGGGTGGCACACAAACCAGTGATCAGAGGCATTCTCATTAGCCTAGCATCAGCCCATAAAAAAAAGAAGATACAGCAAATTACGGAGACACTGACGGAGCTACGAAAGCTCGAAATGAGCCACAAACGCGACCCACAGCCACGTACTCTGCGCGAACTCACAGCCGCCAGAGACCTCCTCAAACGACTAATGCACATGGATACAACCAAAGCCTTGATGTGGCTCAAACAAAAATACTATGAATCAGGCAATAAAGCCGATACCATGCTAGCCCGTCGGCTTAAAAAACGTTTAGAGGCCAAAAAAATTTCATCCATACGCACGAGGACGGGCTCGATCAGCGACATACCTGAGCAGATCGGGGACGCGTTCCAACACTATTTCAAATCCCTATATAACCACTCACCACACCTCGGTCACGACTCTACGGCCTACCAGGAACGGCTAGACAATTATCTCCAACACATAACCTTACCTACCCTCTCCCAAGCCGCCAAACAAGCTTTAGAAGCAGAGGCGACAGTGGAAGAGATGGCATTAGCCCTCGGGGCTTGTAAACCTAATAAAAGCCCGGGTCCCGATGGGTACACTGCTCTCTACTACAAAGAGTTTAGCCCCCTACTCCTCAAACACCTCTGTGCCGTATTCAACGCTATCTTGCGAGGCGAACACCTTCCACAGGACATGACGATGGCGAACATATGCTTACTCCCCAAACCTAACAAAGACCTCACGGAACCCGAACATTATCGGCCCATCTCTCTACTAAACGTAGATCTTAAAATCATGAGCAAGATAATGGCCAACCGAATCAACCCGTACCTAGACAGATTAATACACCCAGACCAAGTGGGCTTCATTCCCAATAGGCAGGCATTAGACAATACCCGCAGAAACATAGACCTCATATGGCTCACTCATCACCGCAAACTCCCTACCACCGTGATCTCCCTAGACGCCGAAAAGGCGTTTGACCGCCTACTCTGGCCCTTCCTCTACCGCACACTAGTACATATGAACTTCCCGAGCGCCTTCATAGCGTTCCTGCAGGCAACATACCACTCCCCTCAAGGAGCCCTCCTGCTCCCCAACATCACACCACCCAGATTCCCGATATCAAATGGCACACGACAAGGGTGCCCACTATCGCCCCTCATGTTCGCCCTATCGTTAGAGCCTTTACTCCAAGCAATCCGAAACAACCCTCAGGTAGAGGGAGTAACTATCAGAGGCGAAAAATACACGGTGTCTGCTTACGCGGACGACATTCTCCTAACACTAACCAACCCGGAACAATCCATAGAAGCTCTACTGAAAACCATACACGACTACGCATCGGTGGCAGGCTACAAGTTGAACTTGGAAAAGTCAGAAATCCTGCCCATCCAGCTCACCGACCCACAACTAAACGCTCTAAAAAACAAATACCCTTTTCGAATATGCCCCACAGCCATAACCTATCTGGGGATCCAGTTACCGGCAGACTTAACCACCTTATATGCAAAAAATTACACACCGTTACTCCGCATCGCACACAGCGATCTGCAAAAATGGGCGAAGCTGGGAGTGTCCTGGCTGGGAAGGGTGACGTCTGTAAAGATGACGCTGCTTCCCCGATTGCTATACCTCTTTCAGACGCTACCCGTCCCTCCCAACAAAGCTGACCTTAAAACCCTACAAACGGCGGTCGACAAATTTATCTGGAACGGACGTAAACCTAGAGTCAGTAGGAACACACTCTACGTCCCCAAAAAACGTGGAGGCCTCGGGTTACCACACTTCTCACACTACTATGCAGCTGCACAACTAGCCCAGATCCAGCACTGGCATGCCCCACCACAAACCAAACGATGGGTGGATATCGAACATACAATCTTTGGCAGAGATCACCCATCCCTCTATATGTGGGTCCCTAAACCACATCGACCTCTTCCCCCCCCAACTGCCCCAGCCATCACTCATTCCTTAGACCTATGGGACAGACTGCAGGATAAATTCGATTTGTCCTCATACCTCTCCCCAATGACCCCGATTTGGAGGAACAAACTCTTCCCACCAGGGCTCACTCCAGTCCACTTCGCCCAGTTCGACCAAAGAGACATTGTAAGACTCAGCCACCTATATCAGAACAATAAGGTAATTCAATACTCGGAAATCAAAGACGCTGATACTCTCACGGCATTTGACCACTTCCGATACATTCAGCTGCGCAGCTTCGCCTCCACTCCGATGATCTATCAAGCAGGCACGGCCACATTCACTAGCTTTGAGAAAGACTGCACACACCACCCACTTAGACGAGGTCAAATCTCAGACCTCTACACGACCCTGGTCACTCACCCCACCCAAATAGCTTTGCCATATATAGCGGCTTGGGAAAAAGACCTAGGACCCCCGGAGGATAACACTGACTGGGCAGATATATGGGAGGCAACGGCCTCAATCTCTATCTGCGTAACACATGCGGAACAAGCATACAAGATGCTATTCCGCTGGTACCTTACCCCCCACCGCTTAGCAATCATCCACAAAACACCTAACACCTGCTGGAAGCTGTGTGGAGAACAGGGGACGTTCCTCCACTGTTGGTGGAC